TTCGATCTTCTTTGAATAGCCCTACTTCACCTACTAGAAGGATTCCTCCACTTGAACCCATACTAGGTTCTGCCCTTGACAAACAACCCCTTTATGTTGAGAAATGAGAGGCGATGTCAGAGACGCAGAAAAGGTGCATACCTCCACCTAACCGTCCCCACACTCCTTCTCGAGGTTCTGAGTGTCCCTTCATTTAAAAAAAGGGAATCGTACCGACAGAACTGAATACAGGATCTTCGTTGTTGCTATCATCCCAGTGACATCGCATTGACTCCACTACTTCTGTTAGCACATATCAATAATGTTTATAAATAAAAATTCATCGAAAATCTAGAAAGGAACTTTGTAAGAAGATGACAATTCTCCTTTGTAATAGATAATGGCAAGAAAATGATCGATAATGTAATGAATGAGCAAAAAAAGAGGATAGCTCGTAGTGTTCAGCATAGCGGCCGTGAGTGGGCGGGGCACTCCATGGGATGTATGTTGTGTGGGGAGCTCCGCCCACCACAAAGTCGATATGACGGAAAACCGATACAAATGCAATATTTCACATGAATATATTAAGAACATCTTATGAATCTGGTCAAAACAAAGATCATAAACTTCTCACGAATACATCACTGGCAAGTATATACTGTAGCTATACGTACGATACGATGGCTATATATGTGTACTAAGTGACCAGAATTGGCGGACGATGTGGGAATTGCGGGCGACTAGTCACGAATTAAAGCGGCAGCAAGGGCAGTGACAGAGAACATTCGGGTATAAGCTGTAGACGACTAGGTAACGATAACGGATGAGGAAGGTCTGCATCGTAAAGCCAAAGGGGAATTAATGTAAAAGCATCGATTGTATTGCGCCACAGGAAACAAAGCTATCACGGCAATATAAAGCTAGAAAAAAAGGAACACGATGATGATGAACGGATGAAGAAAACAGCTATACAAACAACCTGAATGAAAACCAAAATAGAAAGAAAACACGCAAAAATTCCAACGCGATAAATTTTCGTGGAGAAAGAGCGTCAAATGATGAATTACAGCCGAAGTGAGAGCAAGAAATGAACGAAAAACTGAAAATGGGGTAGTTGGCGGGGCTTATTGGGGGAGGGCTGGGTGGCACTACTAAGAATAGCTAAACACAGGGCGATATAAGTCACACAGGTTCCTAAACGAAAGAGGAGCAGTGAGCCGTGGTTGAATTTGGCAGCGGTCCAAGATTAGCCGGATATTTGGCAATGAGTGCACCGCGTGTGTGCATGCGGCGGTCGAGTTGCGTCCGTCACATTTGCAACGAGGAGTTGTTGGCAGGTGTCCAAGATGGACCTAACGATTTCCATTGCTCGTAGTTGGCTTCGAGTTGCGTTGACAGATGTCCAAGATTGGCGAAATCCGAAAAATTCGCGTACGCTTCACGTACGAACATATCTGAAACGAGCCAATGTACAGAGGGGAGGGAGTTGCAGTTGTGGGCGGGGTTACTCATTCACCCAAACGGTACTGGGCGGCGCGCAACAGGATAGCTACCTCCTATTTCCTCGAATGCGGGCACATTCTTCCGTTAAATAATTTCTGGTAATAAGATTCTTTACGAGCAGATCAGCTAACATTCCAGTACACCAGTCGGAGCCTCCCCAGGACAACCTTAAGAGTCTCAGAGCCCTATTTGAAGCAAGGATTATGGTGCGCGTAGGCATAGCGCCCGCAAATGCACCCCCAAATGTACAGCCACCTAGGGACAGAGACGTATGGGTGCCAGTAAACTTTTGATTTTTGCCAAATGCCTGCAATCCTTGTCTCGAGCTTGAACTGTGCCGCGCACCATTCGGATGAGTTGTCCATGAGTTCGAAAATGTGGGAAGCGCAGCAACTCGCACGCGCTGTTAACTCGCCACGCGTGCTTAGGCTCAACACGACTATCATAAGAAAGAGGCACAGAATAAGCCGCCAGAAACCCGTACCACGCCCGAATTCTGCTCGACATGAGTGCGATATATATAAGGCGGACGGTTCATACTTAATGGCGTGGATGAGGACATGCTATTAATCTATTTACAGTTTTTGGCCCACGTGAAACTTTTGGGGAAGAATTGGTGATACGCTATGAACAGTGGCGTTCATTACTGGCGAGGGATGCCTTACAAACAGGGTAAGCCAAGAGTGAGGCAGCGCTTTTGACGGAGTACACTCACCCTTGGCCACACCTCTTTTTGAAGATCCTCACGCCAAATGTTCATTGAAGCAATACCCCTCCGCCCCCCCAACGCGTAGTGTCAAAGAATCTCATTCGGATGGGTGAGGAATAGAAGGCCCAAATATCACCAGCTGTGTCGCCATGTCGCGGCCTCGAAAGTGTAACCGCAACAATGGCGCCAAGCTGTGGGGTGGGTAGATAAGTAATATGGTGGCTGGGACGATTGTGCACTTAGGCGACGAGAGTACCTGCGGGCAGCGCGCCCTCAACGCAAAGTGGGTTACGAGTGTAGGCTCTAAGAAAGCACGATAGATAGACGTGGTTGCATTGATTGATGGCGGTTGCGTTCAAAAACCGTACCTTAGACTTCGTATTTCCACAACCATTATTATCACATCGCTGTTACCACAGCAATGGAAATTGGCCGGTTGTTGCTTGAAGTCGTGATCTAGATTCCTCTCAGGCCAAAAAGACGAAAGTAATGGCCATACACCCGGTCAGAGGAAAGCGAGCAATGAGAAAAAAGAAGGCGATTAATAAACTATTCCAAATTCAAACAATTTTCGAGCACCTTATACCTCTTGTTCCTTACTTGGAACTTTCCAAAACCATAGCTCGAACTTCAGAGGTCCATTCACCAATCTATCGATTTTGAATCTAACAACCACGTAACTTACCAATAAATCCACACTGGGTTAGTGGCACGTTACACGTCCTCCGATCAAACACCTCCATCGTTACCGGCAGGGCACTTTACTCGCGTTCTTCACGGGTCTGAAAATAACCCGAAGATTCTTTCAGGATTCTTAAGAAAATCGAGAACGAAAAAAGGTGAAAGCAGCGCAATAGGTAGTAGACCAGACACGCATCTAACCGCCCACACGATCACAAACAGAAGCCATATGCGTGGCGCACTCTGAGAGAATTTCACTACCGTCTTTAACATTACTGCTTGGAAGAAAAATGTCAAAAAAAACCCATACATTCAGAAAACGCGAGCTCAAACCAGGATTCCATGTACTGGGGAAGTTTGCGGAATTCTTGGTAAGATGACGTAGAAATTTCGGACATTTACGGTGAGAAAGACTATTCGAAAAATATGAATATCTTTGTTTTCTTAGAGCTTTACAATAGCCTAGCCACAAGCAGCATTTGCAATTATGCGATTTTCTTGTCAAAATCATGCTGAACAGAGCAAATACAGTTTCCACTCGAGAAGTAGGCTAACAATGAGATTATCAAACACACCATTTCGGAGAACACTGCGTTTAATCACTTTGTAAAACTACCGTAGTACAGAAATGCACGGAGAGGAAAGTTGCGCCTACACAAAAACTTGGGGCAGATCAGCTAAATTCGCTCCTCTGCTAGGCCGATGTCAGACTTTGCGAATCGCCACCGTCCGCGGTCGCGCCGCGTACAGCGAATCGCTCGATTCGCAAAGTTTGACAATGGCCTTACGATGACCCCCTATTAATGTGGAAAGAAGGGTGTTGCTTTCGCACCCCTGAGGCTCACAACAACGGCAGGCGGTGCGGTTTTTTTCCTCTCATAGAGTCTGGTGTGACAGCCAGCGCACTTTCCGGTTATTGCATGACTCTTACGATTTTGAGATTTCTCACGTTACAAGTGCATACTGAACAAAAGCTCTGACGACATAACAAAATCATAACAATAGAAAAACTAAAGATCGAAGATTGTCAGTCGGAAACACACTAAATTGTTCAGAATTCTGTGCCACCCGCGACAAAAGTGAGCCAAGGAAATTCGATTAATCCCATAGGAGTGTTACATAGCACTCGGACGTGCCACCGCGCAACGGCTACAGAAATAATAACCCTTAGATATTTACGGATTTAATCAGTCAAGATAGTCATATGAATACTTACAAAACAATTATCATATTAAATGTACGCCGATGGCTATACTTAACTACTACAGTTATGCGAAATGGTGTGTGCACGAAAACTGGAGGAAGGTGATGTAATGCAATCAACCACAAACGCTTCAATTGGTTACGAACAGGGTTAACGTCCGTTCGCGCTATTCGCATTTGTGATTCCGGGAAGAGGAATCGCATATTTGGGTTGGAGTAAGAAAAGGTTACCTGATCCATGGCCAAAAGTGTGCAGGGGCATGAGGAGCACCGCTGAAAAGGTTACTCGTTGGGGATTTCGCAGGCAAAAGTTCCACGCGAGTAAGGCCCAAACTAAGACAAATGGAGACTGCTGCTTTCATGATAGAATTCGCCCCCCCGCCTTCCCCCGTGACAACAAATGAATACTAACTATGGAAACCAGCAGTGTGTGTCGTCTAAGTGGAGCCTCAAGATTGAACCCCCCCCTCTAAAACGAGGTTCGCAAATTTTTAGGAAAAAGGCGCACGCGAGCTTGACCCTCGTTACAAAGACGGTTGGAGACGCAACGATCAAAACTTCGCTTCTACGTGGGTTTCATTTGATAAATGCATCTTCAATAGGTCGTAAAAATGACTCGCTTCAGGCGCCAAAGAATCGCCTTTGTGGACAAGTTTCAGAATAAGGCAGATGCAATGATTAAAAGGTGAAAAAACAGTTGGGGGGGAGGTCTTCAATACTTACATCAGGTATGAGCAGCGCTTATATGACACAAGGACGATCGCTAAAAGTATAGTTCGATAAATATTGGCCCCTCTTTGTCGTGCAATGTGGAAGAAACCCTGAGAGCATTTCACATTATCGCTGCGAGTTTAAAAAGAATAGGTTTTATAGTTTTTTTTTTTCAAACCCTTTGATATTAGTCGGTTATTTGCAGCAGTTAATCAAAGCCTACCTGATCGAAATACTCTTCTACGATTCGATAGGCCCATTTCTCGCAAAGTGCCCATTCTCTGGTCGGATTTGAGATATCGGCGCATTTCACTAGCATATTACAGATGGTCAACGAGTTGTCTTCACGAGCTTCTTCTGGTACATCGACGACGTTCATCTGAAGCAAATCTTTCAGCATCAGTGAACTTAAGGGCATAGGTCGGGATCGAAGTGGTGTGTCATTTTGGTCGGAAATTAGACAAGAAGTGCCATGAGGAACGTTATCGGGAAAAGCGCCATGGAAAACACTGAAAATGCCCTTTTAAGGTCGGCAGCGGTATGACGGAGAGACACAGCGCTGCGAGGAGAGGAGAAACGCGAGAGAGTGCAACGCCACGCATGCCGCGATTGAGCAGCACCGTCGGCAGCGTACAGGGCAAGGCCTTAGCACTCCCACTGCGCACTTTTGAGCTGCGGCAGTGTCGCGGCTCCTGGGGTTGGGCACACCTCTTCCTCGGGGACACCTCTTTCTCACATAAGGAGCTTCTGCCACCTATTCCCTACTCGTGGCCTTGAACTGGGAAATGATCGTCGTTTATTAAAGGTACAACCCTTAATCATCGCAACGGTTATTTGCTTCGAAAATGAAATCAGACCCATGAAGTAAACCAGGAGTGAAAAAAACGGACAAGAGACCATCAAAAAGACTGAAAATGAGCTTGGGCTGTAGAAAATTCTCAGAGTCAGATAGCGAGATAAGATATATTGAGCGCCAAAGAAGGAGAAAAAGAATTAAACGCGAGAGAGCATTGATACGAGTGAGAGCGGGTAGGCCCATGAAGTAAGTTCGAGGGCGGGACCGCGGGTGCTGGGTGAAGCACCATGCGCATCCTGAATCCTTAGCGTGTTTCTCTGGTAATTTTGTGCGGTGAATTTAGACACAACCCGTGTGCTTACGAAAGGCTCTACGTCCAACGAGCATGCTCTTCACTTCAATGACCTAATCGCGGAATGGGCTTTTAGAAGAGCTGCACAACCACTGCACCATAGGTGGGAACGATCCCCATCTAGAGCAGTCAAGAAATCCATTTTTCCACGACAAACTCCTTGACAGCGGAATTT